TCCTCTTTATATTTTAGAATCTGATGAATCAATTTGTATGTACTATTCCATCTAATGTGGATATCTTTTGCAAAAACTATTTCTTTTCTACCTTTAGACTTACAGAAAATCTTCCATTTTTTCGAAACAAGACGAGCCCCCCAAATTCTTTTAATTCCTTCTTTAATATTCGTCAAAACTCCGCCCATAGCTTCTAGTCCCTGTTGAACACATAAATTTAAAACATGACAGGCACACCTTTGATGCAGAAATCTACCCATAGCCATAGACGGTGGGCAAATTTCTCTAAGTCTAGGAATGGATGCAGTATTATTAGTAGCATTATCAAAACCAAATGAAAACACTTTGTCAGATAAGTTGTATTCCCGCAGAATACTCTGAAGCAATAGGAAAATATTTTCAGCAGATAACTACGCCATCTTTTGTTTCTTTGTCAAAATGATAAACAAAAAACTCTGATTTATATTTTTTTACCTTTATCCGGACCTCGAGAGGTCGTGGGCTCACCTGCCTCCACGTCGACGTCGTTGCTCTGCGGTGTAGGCTCATCGTCCCCGTCCAGATTATCCAGATTTGCTTCATCAATATCTTCGAATACACTATCAAGAGTGGGGAGATTTGCGTCCCCTCTACCAGAATAAATCTGGTTGAATTCTTCATCCATCATAGCGTCCCCGATTAAGTGATCGGGGATAGTAGGAAAGGAAGAGACGGAGTGTCTTCCTCGAAAAACGCGTGAGGTCGAACCGTCGGAGGTGACTTTTGCTTTGCCTCTACTCGAACTTCGGTTCACAGCGCCCATATCCACCGGACTCTCTCGACATTTTAATATATATATATATATTTTGATATAAAAAAATAATATATTAAATTTCGAAACTTAAAAGAAATTCGAAATTTTATATATAAAAATTTCGAAAATTTCAAAAAAAATAGAGAATATATTTAAAATATATATTATATATTTTTTGATATTAAAGAAATATTAAATTTCGAAAATTTCAAATAATTTCTAAATTTTTTATATTAAAATATAATATATTTAAAAAAATATATATAAAAGAGATAATAAGATATTAAGATTGAGAAATTAAAATGATAGATTGAGATATTGAAATTTGAGAGAATGAGAGAATAGAGATTAGAGAGTAAGAGAGATGGATATGGATTGATGAGTGTGATTTTTTTAGAATTTAGAAGAAAAAATGAGTATTTATAGGAAAAAATTACCCCCTCTCCCCTCCCCCCCTCCCCATGATTTAGCCGTTTTGGCCGCCCCCCCCCACTAACTATGTTTTTTTGCAGGTTACCGTTGGAGAGCAAAAAGGAGAAATAAAAATAAAAATAAAACCGGTACCGGCGGTGCCGGTACCGATTTTGGGGCACCGGAACCGAGACCGGATGTGGCGGTACCGGTGCCGGTTCTCGGAACTGTTTCACCGTCCCGGTTGGCGTTACGGTGCTCGGGTTGACGGTACCGAACCTGTACCGTGTCCAGCCCTAATCATAATCAATTGGTATCAAAAATAGGATTTTAGAGCTCAAAAATAGCATTTTCGGACAAATTTTCGGATCAGACAGGTCGGGGGATCGATCCAGAGGGCTGGATCGATCCAAACTATGAAAAATCACTCCCAAGGGATCGATCCAAGCCCCTGGATCGATCCAGACAGTGGTGTTTCAGCCACTGTTCATCTTCTTCTTCGTTCGGGTCCAATTTCGGAAATACCGTTTTTAGTTATCGAACTTCAACGAAACAATATAGAGATGTTCTCCAAGGTTCATAGATCATTTTGGCATCATTAATTCATATTTTTAACATCAATTTCATGGTTTATGATTCTTGGTTCTTCAAGCATGTCAAACACAAAACTCAACCAAACGACCGTTTATGAACGTAGAAACGATCTATACGAACATTTTAGTCACTAGATTTATCTACGGGCTTACCTCAAAGCGTAATGGAGGTTTTGAAGATTTTCAGGCAAAACTTCTGGCGAGGATTGTGGCTCTCTCAACAAATTGACAGCACCATAACACTCCTCACACTCTCAGGAACATAATAGGAAGAAGAATTGTGAAGAAATGAGGAAGTTGACTTCTCTTTTTATAGGGAAGATGAAGAAGAAGAAGAAGAAGACACTTGCTGAGTAGGTGCTGCGTAGATTTCCAAATTCACGATCTTCATTCGGCTGAGTGGAAGAGGAGGCGCCGTCCCTGAATGGGACTAATTTTGGTTCCAATCGGGGTACATTTTTTTGGGTCCAACTTTCTCCGAATTGAAATCCGTTTGCACCGTTGCGATCGTACAATTAAATTCTATCCAACGATATAATTTTATATTTATTCGTTATACTTTTTCCGACATCATATTTTTTGTGTTTGACTTTGACATTGTCAAAATTGATTTGTTTGACCTTTACTAAAAATAATGCTCATACTAAATTCATATTATTTATTCTCATTATTTATTTCAATAAATCATTTCAAAGTTCATAAACAAATTTCTTCATTTATCCTTGATTTGAGTCTGTACTCAGGTTCCCAATTAAGGTCACACAATAAATCAACATGTTGGATTTATCTCTATGAGATTTATCCCAAATATGTTTATTGGATATCAATATATATTTTATTTCAGCCCAAAGCCCAACAAAAATTTATTTTAATCAAAACAAATTTGATTAATTTGAATAATTATCTATTAATAATTCTAGGATATGTTTTGGGGCGTTACAGTTAATGTATTTTAAAACTAATTTTTCCGACGTCTAATAATTAAGGATTACTTTCTCAGTTTTCTATTTAACCTATTTCTAAAGTTTATTCTTTTTCATTTTTAAGAACAATTGTAAAAATGATGATGATGATGATCATAATAATAACAATAATTTTTGATGGGATCTGATTTTAATAAGTCCTGATCTGATTTGATCTGATCTGATTGGATCTGATCTGATCTGATTCGATCTGATCTGATTTTAATAAGAATAAGAAAAAATAAGAAAAAATAAGTTGAACAGAACGGGGCCTTAGACCCGTATCCGTGCGCTTTGCACAACCTAATTAAAAACAAAATAATTAGTTAAAGTATTGAAGATGGAAAATGATAAAATTCAATTAACGTAAGAATATATAATCAAATATTAAAGAGGAGGAAATATACAATGATATAGAATGTGGAACCATAACATTATAAATTTTGGAAAGCTTACTTATAAACCACATTTGTGGTTTGGTTCAACTCAGCAAGGTGTTCGTTGCATATCAAGATATGTAATTCTCTGCGATTTGTGACACGTGAAAGTGCTACATAAAGCTGGTCATACTGAATACCGACTTCTTTTGTAAAAGCCCAACATGCGACAAAGATTGTTTTTTACTTTTATTAATAGTCATTGCATTTGAAATCATAATTGGGAATTGTTTTCTTAGAAACTTAAACAGAATTCTCGTATCTAACGGTGTAAGCAACAACTATGGAATAATAACTTCTTGTCCTATATTTTTCCTTGTAAGCACTGTACCTTGAATGAGATGATTGCCAAGTTGAGTAACAATCAACCATGTCCCATTGCACAAGCCAGAAGATTGATCAATATTCCTCAACAGTCAACAACATGACTGGTGTTCCGACCTTTAACTTCAATTCATGGTCTGGTACACCCGATGCTCGTATGTTATTTAGAAATTCAGGAGAATGCATGTTAGTTAAGAAGTCTGCATTTGAATCAGATTTACACTAGCCAGTAACAATGGGAACGGGGGATTGCCACAAATTAATATGTAGTAGAGTAATTAGAATGGAAAAACAGAAATACGACTCGATGACATAAATAGGAGGCGAACATGCTTTCCCAATTGACACGCATGACACAAGAAATGTTGAAATTGTTTATTAAGACACTGTGATAAACTGGGAACTCCACGAAGGACGACATGGCTTGGGTGGCCCAAACGCCGGTGTTAGAGCTCTGGATCAGCTGTGACAACATGGGCTTGGGCCTGGGTAGCTGGTGGGCTCATGGGGTAGAGTGGACCGATGAATCACAGACCCTGTCTGCATATCCTTCACAGAAAAACCAGTAGGGTCAAATTCAACGGTACAATTATTGTCGCGGGTGAATTGCTAATATGGGGGGATACCAGGATATTATGTAGGGACAGGGAGGGGGAAGTAGGGAAGTGATAATTACCGGTAGCCGTAGTGCGAACTTTAGAACCATTACCAACAGTGATGTATGAAGATGAATTTAAAGAATGAGAACGAACATGAGAAAGTGTACCTGTGTCGGAGGCTATGTGATGGGAAGCTCCCGTGTCCATGTACCATGTAGGGTCACGGAGGCTAAGGGTGTCAAAATTATGGGCAAGGGCGGTGGGTGTGGGAGGAGGGGGGGGTTGACGGGTGGGTGTAAGGGTTTTGTGGGGGGTATACGGGTGAGTATGGGGAGGGTGGTGGCTGGCCGTAGGGATGGAGGGGGGCTGGCCATAGGGTTCTGGTGGGTAGGGGCTTGGGTTTTGGGTAAAATAAGCTTAGGGTGGGGGTGGGTAGGGCAGGTGGGCCTAGGGCCGAGAAGACCGGGATAGGGGCTAGGGTTCGGTGTTTGCCAGGGCTGTCTGTGGGTGGAGCAGGGATTCGATCCAGAGCTTCGACCTCGACCGTGGTTGCGATGACCGCCATAGCCATGACCACTGCCGTTGCTGTGTTGCTGCTGTCCGTGGCTGCTGCTGCTGCTGTGGGACCCGCGACCACCGCTGGCGGGGCTGTGGAGGATGACGCCAGGGCTGCCGGCGGAAAGAAGGGCCGTGCCGGTGGGAGAGTCGGCATCCAAGTCTGATCTTTGACGTTCCAAGAGGAGGAGGGCTGAGCGGGTTTGAAGAAACGTCGGAGGCGGTGTTTGAAACTGCAGGAAAGACGTTTGATTCCGCATGTCATCCGGCAGCCCCCGAAGAACTTGTAGCACAAGTTGTTGTTCCGAGACAGGGGCATCTACGTCGTCCAACCAATCGGCTATGTTCTTGAGGGTTTGACAATAGGTCGAGATGGACAAAGAGCCTTTCCTCGTGGTCCTGAATTGATGTTCCAACTGCATGGCTCGGGCGGGTTTGTTATCCTGGAAGAGAGAGTGAATGGATCGCCAAAGTTCCGCGGCCGAGTCAGTGGAGGAGATCACGAGATCGGAGACTTCATCGTTGATTGTAGAGAGGATCCACCCTTGGAGAAGTACGTCAAGTTGATACTAATCAACGTCGTCGGCACCGGACGGGGCTGATTTTCCGGTGAGGAAATCGTCGAGGGAGAAGCGACGAACCAAGAGAAGAAATAGGCGGCTCCACTTTTTCTAGTTTGGTTCCGTAAAGCTCAAAAGGATCGAGGCATGAAGCTTCACATTAGAGATGGTCGTGAACGCCAAATGAGGAGTGGAGGCGGAGGAGGTAGGCTTGTCGGAGGTTGCTTCTTTCTCGGACATGATGGCTGCTGCAGATGTGCACCGGGTGGACAGCCGCTCGGGAGGCAGGCGCTGTGGAGAAGCTGCATAGAGGGGGAGAGGGCGCTGGTGGTGGCGCCGCTGGGAGACAGAGGGGACGTCGGCGCTAGGGAAAGCCGAAGGTGGCTGGCGGCGGTAGGGTTAGGGTTGGGTGGTGCGACGGAGAGCTGCGCACGAGAGGGAGGAAAAAATTTTTGGGTTTAGGAAAGAAGCTCCGATACCATGAAGAATAATTGTTTTCTATATTGATCTTGTGAAGTCAAGCCCCGTATATATACAAAACACAAGTCTCCTAACTATGGTAGGATATAAACAAGGAAACCCTATATAAAGGAAACTACCAAATATATAGATATTAAATATACAATAATATATTTAACAATGGCGATTATTCACTTGTGAATTCAAAACAATCTGGGTAATTGTAAATAAGCATCAAAATTGGATGAGAAAACTCATTCAAAAACAAAGTCTGTAAATTCGAAAAAACCCTGAAACAATTCCCTAACCTGGAACCAAAGCCTTGTGATTCATTCCATCTCCAAGCGCCGACTATATATAGCGATATTATTGACAAAAAAGGTAACGTGTGTTTAGATTATTATTATTGTTATTATTATTATTATTATTATTATTATTAATTAGGAGTATATTATGGAATTTACAACCCAGAAAGCATCCAAATGACCAAAAATATATTAAAGTAATGCAAATCAATTACGTGATTTTTATTGGGGAAGCCACAAATCAAACAAAATCTGTAGCCCTACATCGAGTGAATCCCTCAAATTCCATAATTAAATTTCAACGCTAATTCAAGCATTTACTCCAGTAGGTGAAGCCGTGGATTTCACGTGCATTTACTCGGATTACACAGAAGAATGAAATTGCATCGCCATTCAATTACATCGCATTTACTCGGTTGTGTTTGAATGGTTACGCGTACGCAAAAGAAAAACTTGGAATATACTAGACATAGACGGAGTTTCTAACGGGTGGGGCATATTGGGGAGTATATGATATTGTACAAAACTAAAGCCTAGGAGTATAAATATTATGGATGAAAAAAACCATAAAATTAATGGGTACCTAACTGGATTCTACGTTTATATAATAAGAGGGATATATGGATATATATGTGTGTGTGTGTGTGTATTCTTTATTAAAATATATTTTTTAAGAGTGAAATATTTGAACATATTATTTCAGGAATAGAACTTACCTTTGTCTGATTCCTATTTTGGATCATGTATTGAACAGATTCTTTCAGTTTTGGTAAGCTTTCTCATTGCAAGAAAGAGAGTTATCCACGTATCCTGTATTGAATATCATTTTTTATTAATTGACAATAAAAAATTTAAAGTAACTTGGATTATTGAAAATATTTTATTTATCTTTTGAATGAGTACATTTTTAGTCTATTATTGAGAATTAAGATTTGAAAAAAAGATAAATTCCCAAATAATTTTTTTCAGTTCAAGGCTTTTTCATATAATTTAAAAGATTAGTATATAAGAAATCACCCTACATAGCACTCTAGTTCTTCCAAAAATACGCATTTAGCACTACCCATTGTTTTTACAAACTTAGCTATTTATGGTGTCAAACCCTTCCTATCATACCCTTTACCCCTTTTTATTTTTTTCATTAAAATTAGGTTATTGAAGGAGTTCAATTACCGCACTTGACGTGCGACTCCACCTACGCGGCTCTCCTTCGTCTACGTCTTCACTCATTCACGCATTACCAGCGATTCCTTCGCCGATTAGCAGCGGCGATCATCAATCACCACATCTCTCTAAGCAATGGATAAATCAGTTTCTCTGGCCGTGAATTTTCGGTAAATATTGCTTGAAGGTCGGAGGCCAATTACTACTTTTTTACCTAATTGAGTATAATACAAATTTGTTTAATTAAGGGCAATATTGAGAATTCATCTCAAAAACTTATAGCACTGCTATTTTGCGTATTATAAGCCTATTAAAGTGCTATATTGGTATTTCTCCCCCCTAGTATATTTGGGACATTACTAATAATAAATCAATTGTCATGGCTTATCATGCACGTTAAATTAAAAACATTGTGAATCTTAGAGAAGTGTGGTTTACTTACCTGAGAAATGAAGAATTTAATGTTAGTTTTGAATGCTCAAGCTCAACTTCAATGAGGTAGTTGGTTAAGAGGGTGAGAAATAAATTTGGAAGCAAAGAGAGAAAAACTAATATAGTTGTAATCCTTAATAGTGTATTAAATGCTTGGGTAGTTTTAGTTTTTTTTAAATTTTAATTATTATTATTAAATTATAAATTATTCTATTCATTTATTGTTTGAACTATGACGTCTATTTTGTTTATTATTATTTTTATATACAAATCCAAACTTGACAAAAAAATATGTCGTTGACCATCTTTTCCCCAAACATATCTGATGGTGTAAATTACTCGACCGGTCAAACTATACTAGACCGGGTCTAGAATAGTTCGCTTGATTTGGCAAAGTAAGAAAGGTAAAAACACGCTAAGTGACCGGTAGGACTTTAGGTGGAACACCTGTAGCCCAATTTATATTATAACGGAGAATGCACGGGTGCTTTTACAAAGGAGTTTAGAGAGAGTGAAAATCGGATCCCTCTTTCTGAGGTTTACATGAGTATTTATACTAGGCTAAGGGGACAGGACCACGTGCGCCCACGTGGGGGCATGCTGCTGATGTGGTGCGAGGTGACTGGTTTCGTCCTCAAGCTGCCTTGTCGCCTTGTGAAGGGGTTCATTCCCTTTGTCAAGTAGTGCTTTGGATGGATTCTCCAGCATCTCCAGTTGTCCTCTACTGACACGGGTCGCTACACGCCAAGCCCTCGCAGATCCTCCTCTGCCGACACTTTCCAACCCCAGAAACTACACCGGGTAATCTCCGAGGGATGAATTCATCGAAGTCTGGAACAAATAGGATGACAACGTAGTTTGACCGGTATACTTTTTGTGAAGTGTACCGGTCATATTTTGACCGATGATATATTGTTTTGCTGACGATTTAAGTCTCCCTTCCAAAACTTTCGAGATTGACCGGTCAAAGATTTGGCCTTCTCCTTTGACCGGTCTTGGGTGAAATACACCCATCAATAAGCCCTCCACTTCTCGGTCGTGCAATTTGTCATGAGCGGGAAGTAAAAAGTCTGAAGTAGGACTCCAATTTTGAAACTTTGGCCCTTCCCGCCTAAAATTTTTGAAATTTGAATTTCAAACTCTGACTTTCGCCACGTGTCGCGCACCAACCGTTGCAATCAGTCGGCTGCAAACCTGCCGTTTCGCCTACCAGTGGGTCAACATTGCGCCGCCTGACGTGGCGTATTCTCGCGTGGCCACGTCGCTCCCTTTGGCCTCCTTTCCTCCTATATAAAGGCCTTCAACCCATCTCCTTTGTTCACTTTCCGCGATCAAGTCTCAGAGCTTTCACCGGTCAAGTTTCTTCTCTTTCGCTATCCAGCCCTCCGAGCCAAGTAAGTGTCCCCTTCCTTCTCTACTTTCCCGGTCATGTCTTCTCTTAGCGATAGGGTCTCTTCCTCAGAGGACTACTCCTCTGAGAATTCCAACTCCTCTTCCTCGACCGGGTCTTCTTCTCTGAACTCTTCGCCCGGTCAGGTTCCCAACTCCCCCATTCCCGACCCGCATCCTGTAAATCAGGTGCCCGGTGAAACCTTCGAGGGGAGGGATGACTCGGTTGATGACGAACCAGGTCCCTATGATCCCGAACACGAAACCCGGGATGCGTGGGAGGCGCGGCTTCATGCCGCCGGTTACTTTCCACTCCCCACCTTCTACGTCCTTGACATACCTTCCCGTGTATCCAAAATCGCTTTAAATAAAATCCGTAGGAGGCTCCCAGATGGGTATAGTTTTTCCCCCTCGCCCCCTCCTTACTGAGGTTTGCCATGCGTTTAGGATTTTGCCCGGCCAAATAACTCCTAACGCCCACCGATACCTCCACTCCTTCGTAAATATCTGTTCCCATCTAAAAATCTTCCCTTCTTTGCGCCTTTTCCTTTTTTGCTTCGAAGTCCTACCGGGCGGGGCCGGCTGCGAAGGTTTTGTATTCTTCAAAGCCCGCACCGGTAGGAAGTTCATTTCCGAAGTCCCCCAGAGTAACCGGGGATGGAAGGAAAAATTTGTTTTCATCGAATTTCCCCCCTTCTTCACTCCTCTGGCCGGTCTGAAGTGGAACGACCATCTGCTCGATCAAGAGTACGCTGCACCGGCCTCCTTCCCAGACTTGGAAGCCAACCTCGAGATCCTCATGCGCGGGGATCCTCAAACCGGGAGGATCTTCCATCAAGGAAGCTGGGTTTGGAGGGTAGAGTCGGGTGGTGAGGGTACCTTCTAGGCCCAGGAAGCAGCGGGGCACGGGGTACCCTCCCCGGGCAACACTGCAGAGGCCGAGGGCCAGAACCACCCAGGTATTTATCCTTTTTCTTGTGTTTCGTAGTTGGACCGGGCAAACTATTTGTACTTAACGTTTTTGGTTCGTTTTGCAGATATGGAGTTTGAAGAGTTCGCTATCCCTGAGGACCAACCAACCAGGGAGACCGGGGGCTCCCAAGCCAATCCTGCCAGGACTTTCCCGGTCAATCCAGAGACCGTGGAAATCCTGGATGAGGATGAGCCCCAAGAAGACCGGTCTAAGGGGAAGGAGAAGGAGAAGGCCGGTCGCCGGGTGAAGAAGGTGGCCACCACGCACCCCTCCTATGCCAAGAAGAGGGCCTGGTCAGATCCTGAGCCGGCCGGCCAGACCATCAAAGAGGCCTTCGTCAACCTGGGGCTGAGGCTGAAGGAGGTAAGTTCTGCTGCTATCCTGGTCTTGATCCCCCTTCGCTTATTATTCCATTCTTACCGGGCTTGTTTTCCCTTTTGTGCAGGCGGGGGAGATTGGACCCCTCACAGCCGACCGGCTTGGTTTAGGCTCTCCCTCGGAGTTTGCTCGGCTGAAGAAGGAGAAGGATGAGATGGCCCTCATCTTGAAGAGCGAGGCCGATGAGCTGATCAGGCTGTCGGGGTTAGCCGGGTCCATGAAGACCGAAATCTCCCAGCTGAAGGAAGAGAATGGCCGGCTCATGGATGAAGTCTCTGAGGCCAAGAGGGAGATGATGGAGAAGGAAGAAAACTTCCCCGGGCGCGCAGCCGCCTGGGTTGAGGAAAATAAGGCCGAAGCTGCCCGGGTTCTGACGGCGAGCCCTGAAGCCACCATGGAGTCCTTCAGGCTTCTATACCGGGAGCCTGAAGGAAAGAAGATGATCACCGCCGTTGGATCCTTCGGATTCAAGTGCGGTCAAAAGAAAGACCGGGCAGCTTCCCACCGGATCCTCCTGAAGAGAGACCCGGCCTTCACTGAGGCTTCCTACGGCCTGGCTCCTATCCCAGAGGAAGAGCCCACTCCCCCCTTCCCCCTAGATTAGGATCTTCCCGGCTGCGCCCGGTTGTTTTTGTAAAAACCTCAACTTGAAATTTCCCCGGGGATGCCCGGTGTAGTTGTAAAACATTTAACATTCTTATTTCGTTTGAATGCCATGTTTTCTTTTCATACCGGTTAATCTTCCACGTCTGATTGCTTGTCTGATTTATTTTTTTTTTTGATCTTGCTCCTTAGGATAACCATCATAGAAATTCCAACCAGTAGCCCAATCAGACCACTCCTCCATTGTTTCTGACCGAGAGAACATCAAAGTTCTCTCTGATCATTTTATCTGAAGGATTAGCTCGAGTAGCTTTGACCGGTTAAACTTCAATTTTCGCTTTTCGAACGTCTTCATCATTTTGGCCAACTTAAAAAGTGTGACCAGCCGAAATTTACTTTTGCCTTTTGGATAGCTTCACCAATTCTTTCGGTAAAATTTACTTTGACCAGTGAATTACCACGCCATGGTTTGACCGGTCAACTGCCTTGCCTTTTGATGGATGTAAAACTTTCGAAGTTCTGATGTGCCCATACCCGACCGGGGTATTCTTTTTTTTTTTATTTTTTATCGGTAGGTTGTAGATGGAGCACCTGTAACCTAGTAATTCTTGAAGTATTCTTAACCGGTAAGAATACTGGAGATTTAACCATTCGATCCACCCAGGAAGCCTTCCTAGGATAGGTTCGACCTATCAATCCTGCCGCTACCAAATAGAGTATTGAACATCATCGGTTTGATTGATAATAAAGTAGGCCTTGCCTAGTATTACAATCATTTGTAGAACTTGCGAAGATGATGGGAATTCCAGGTTCTTTCCACTGGTACCCCTTCAAGAGTTTCTAACCGGTATGTCCCCGGGCGAATGATGGCTCTAACCCTATACGGGCCTTCCAAGTTTTTTGCTAGCTTTCCCCCGTCGCCGGGTCTACTTGCTTCTCTTCTTCGTAGGACTTCATCCCCAACTTGGAAGTACCGCGGCCCGACCTTGTTATCATGGTACTTCTTCACAACTTGTTGGTATGTGCTCATTTTGACTTCCGCGGCCATTCTCCGCTCTTCGACCAAGTTGAGTTCGGCCAAGTGATCTTCCTCATTCTGCTGGGGTTGATA